ACTTGAAAGTGAAACTCATACACCACTCACATATCTGTACTGCTTGATGTAAATGCACCCCAGCAGGAAATAGACTGGGAGCCTCAGAGCATTGGCTTTAGAGCCAGAGTGGCTGAGTTTGAATTCCAGAACTACCAACTAGTTGTGTGACCTAGAAAATATATCTGAGCCTTCTGTGTCTCATTTTCCCTATCTGTAAAATGCACTTATGTCATATGATTGTTTTGTTTTGTGGTTTAGATGAGATATAGCATGAAATCAATTTAGAATGATGCTTGGCAATTACTAAGTGTTCAATGGAGTTAGCTGTTTTTAATATTATTACTATTACTGTATTATATACTATATTACTGTTATTATTAAATAGGTTTATATAAACCTAAATAGGGTTTTTGGCATAGGACATATGTGTTTGCCACAGAGAGAGAAGGAGAAAGACAGAGGGAAAGTGAGAATCATCCCCCGCCCCAAGGGGAACAGCCACACCATAATCCTTTCTCCTCCATTCTCCTTCTGGGATTTTGAGCACATATGCACATGCGTGTGATTTTCAAGCTGCTAGGTCTGGGACTTGAACTTTGGTTGCCCATGTGGGAAAACAATGCTTTAACCACCATGCCACCTACTGACCCCAAGTTGTTTTTATTATTATTCCTAGTCTGTGTCTTAGATCTAGTGAATTATAATATCTGAGGACGGAGTCTGGGAATCTGCATTTCCATGCCCCCCAATATAATTCATATATATGCTTTGAAGTTTGAGTACAAATGTTTCAGGCTGAGAAGCCGGGAGAGAAAGCAGGTGATATCAAGACAAAATCAGTTAACATAATAACGCCTCATATTCCCAGGAACTTTGTGAAATAAGGAGTTTCCTGTAAGTGAGTTCTCCAGATGCCCAAAACTCTCCTCTTGTTTTAAACATCCAATCTCAGAAGTTAAAACTTGACATAGCCCCAGCCTGGTGGTGCAGTCAGAAGCAAACTGAACTGTAGTGCTGGAAGCCACGTGGCTGACAGCAGGTTTGAATTTCTGGGTCAGCCTGAAAACACATTGGTTATGTGTGTGCGTGAGTTGGAGGGACTGGGGAAGGGGATCACTTTGTGATAAATT